CCTTCAAACATGAACAGAGGGCACGGCCAATGAGGAGCGGGAGCAGACGCTGAACCAGCTTCTGACAGAGATGGACGGCTTCACGCCCGACACGGGGGTCGTCTTCATCGGTGCCACAAACAGGTTGGGAGGGGTGGGTGCTGGGGCGTGCATGCGCGCGCTTTCCTGCATACTTGTGTGCGTGTATGTGTGTGTGTTAATGTGTGTTAGTGAGCTGTCTCTGGCGTGTCCATGTCAATTTGCCGTCGTCTTATATCTCATCTGATATGATCAAACTTCACTCACCCCCCCCCCCCACCCCACCCCCCACTATCCAACTCCCAGGGCCGACCTCCTGGATCCCGCGCTGATGCGTCCCGGCCGCTTCGACCGCAAGGTCCGCATGCCAAAGCCCGACACCAACGGCCGCTACGAGATCCTCAGGCTGCAGCTGCGCGACAAGAAGGTGCGCGCGCATGCGCGTGTGTATGTGTGTGTGTCAGAGAGAGTGCGTGTGATTGTGTGCGTGTGGGACAGCGTGGGTGTGTGCGTGTGGGTGGGGGCCGTGCGCGTGTGTGGGCTTGTGCTTATGGTGTGGGGAACACGTGCATTTGTGTGTGTGTGTGTGTGTGTGTGTGTGTGTGTGTGTGTGTGTGTGCACGCATGCACGCACACGGGAAGTGTCGGACAAACTGGCGTTTTGGGGCAAGCAAAGCTGCGCAAGTAGCGAGGCGCGTTGCTGGCACCCGTGGCTTTGCTCGCTGGGAGGGGTGCGGCGAGGGTGCCCCTTTGCCACCCCGCCGTGGCGGCCCTGCCAGGGCAGCCGGCCCCGCTTGATTGTTCACACATCCGGTGCCGGTGCGGCGGTGATGTCACCGCCCCAATGTCTCAAGTAGCTCAGCGCAGCTCGATTCCATTTCAACCCTCACCTGTGTGTACACCCCCCCCCCCCACACACACACACACGCGCGCGCGCGCGCGCGCAAGCATGACATGGCACAGCACAACACAACATCACAGCACCTCCCGCTCATGCTTCAAATCCACACCTCATTCACCTCTCTCACACACACACACACACACACACACACACACACAC